GACCAGTTACAGTATGCGCGGAGATGAAGGGAGGGAGTAAGGCAAAAAGAGAAACTGCAAACATGGATGGCTATTTGCTCTGTTGATTAATGGGCATTTTCCTAAAAGTAAAAAAATAATAATAATAAAGTTCCACCGGGTAGTAGTTACCATCAAGTAGAACACGAGTACCCCAGAGGTCTGTTCTAAAAATAGCTCACCAGTGATGCGACATTGATACATTGGGGTGACAGAGACTCACCACACTTTGCTTTTTGATGACTTTGAGTGATATTTTGATTCAATTCAAAAACTTGTTGCAGAACTTTGCACTCCGCGACACCATTAACACGTTTATCCGCGTCGGGCCACAAAAACTTGATGCCACGAAAGACGCAAAGGTTGTAAAATCCAACAAGGCCTGAGGGCAAAAGAGCAAAAAGTCCAACCAGAATGCTGATTAATTGGCCGTCCATCACTTCCGCGCCTCCGGAGCTTTCTGCAAATTGGCACCTTGCCCCGGCTTTCCCCTCGTGGTTTTTCTACCTGCTTCGCCAGTGCGACCTCGTGAGCCTCCATCCTCAGCAGCTCCTCGACTTGATTAGCGTCCCCTGCACGGTGGAGCACAAAAGCCCATTAAGTGTGCGTCATGAGTCAAGCACAGATTTTTATTTTTATCTTTTTGTCTTTACAATGCCAATGGAGTGTTTTTTTAAAAAATATTTCCAAACTATACTACATGAATAGAAAATTATGAGTAAGCATATTTGTAATCGTCATAGTGTTGATGTGCTTTCCGTGCCGTGCCAGCATTGGTGGCGTGTTCTGTTTTCAATCATGCAAGAAAAAAAAAGTTGTGATTTCATTAATGAATATCATTTTTAGATAAGTATGCTTGAACAGAATCTGGAGGTAAGCGCAGCGTTGGGTGTGGTTAGTGAAAATTTTCTGAAAAATGCTATTGGCCACAGTAAAGTGGGCCTAGTGCTTTTTCACGCAAGGTCAGGTTGCTTTGAATAGTTTTTAGCATTTAATAACGGCATTTTATGTTTACCTAGGTTGTCTTTTTCCGATGTTTACATTTGTTTGACAGTCTGAAATGTTAAGTGGGGAAACAAAGCAACTGGCAAATACTTTTCTTTACTCACCGTGGGTGCTGCCGAGGTTGTCCGAATGGCTGCTGACAACACCAAACAAAAACAAGAAGCAATGAGATGTTCTCCTCAGACAAAGAGAACGTAAAAGCGATCGTCACCTCTCTCCTGTTAGGACTTCGCTTCGAACGTCTGATCGGATCCCCGTCCCGCTCACCTGCACGGACGTCTGCGTGAGCTAACACTCGACCCAGAGCTTTTCCCTGCCCGAGGCGCCGACTTACTTCCACGAGCGCAACTTGAACCTTCACGTCGGAGGGCAACTCCAGCTCGGGCTGGAAATGTCTCACCATGGCAACCAGCAGATGGAGAGTGGCCAGGAGATCTTTCTTGTGGATCGCTGAACCAACAACCACAAAATTCATCAAGTCATACGTCGAAAAAACGGGCAAGATGAGCCCCTTCCAAATTTCGTCAACATGCACTCCCCTGTGAGGTTGTCATCACAGAAACTTGAAATGGACTGTGTTCAACCAAGTCAAAAATTGATTGGGGACAGACCACATCAAGTGCCAGAACCAGATCTGTAATTATTCTGTCAATATACGCCCAGATAATGTTGTAAACAAAGAAACATGTTTTGACTTGGAAAATGACAACTGAGGCGCAAAAGTTGACTTTCATCTCTGTGGCTCTTTGTTAGCGGCCATCAGGAACAATCATAACTGCTCAAAACCAGAAAGAGAACTTCGCTGATGGAAGCCCCGCCCCTCCCACCCCGTTTGTCAGCATGACTCACAGCTGACGTCCCACTCGGGGTCGCGCCGGCCCAGCCTCTTGTCCAACTCCTCCATGATGATTTCCAGCTTGCGGATCTGAGCCGAGCTGGTCAGCGCGATCTCTTCCAAGGGCAAGTGCACGCCAGCCAAGCTGGCTGCAGGGACGAACGAAAATCAAAAAGAATTCAGCATCCTTCGCCGTTCCACCCTTTTCGTTATAGTCCAGCCTTGATTTT